ATTTCCTTAATTGTTTTGTACCTTTCAGAGTTAGTTTCCTCATACTCTGTTCCAGCCTCACCCAAAGCTTGTGCCTGTTTTCTCCTTGTAATATAAATGGCAGCTATAAATAGAATTTATTAAACAAAAAAACATAAGCACAAGCCAGGGTCAGCCTTTCAAGTCTGGGAGGTAAGTGGAGGCATGGCATAACATTAGAAGCAAAACCTTAACAACCTACCTTTGAACTAATACAAAGCAGTACATGTTGAGAGTCCCTGTTGTGATATCTCAGTTGCAAGATGGGACAGAGGTGCCCCCAATGAGCAAGACATGGTCTAAAAACTGACAGGAATTGTAGTTTTACACATTTTAAAGCCTTCCCAGCCAAATAATGCTGGTGCCTGACAAAACTACAGCTTCCATATTTCTAAGGGACCGGGCCATGGCACTTAAAGTGGTACCAAACTGCATTAGTAGAGAGACTAGTAAAGACGCACCCCAGGAGACTACCTTTCAAAATGGCAGTGATAGCAGCAATTTGATTTGGCCTGTCAAATTTGTCACACATCTCTTCAAAGGTTTATAGCACAAACAGCCCACCAGCAAAGATCCATTCACTCATTTGGAATTTCCTTTCTTTTGCTCTCACATGCACTCCAAATTTGTTCAAAGGTCAACCAACCTTCTAGAGCAGTGGTTCTCAACCTGTGGGTAGCCAGGTGCCTTGGCCTACAACTCCCAGAAATCCCAGCCAGTTTACCATATGTTAGGATTTCTGGGAGTTGAAGACCAAAACATCTGGGGACCCATGGGTTGAGAACCACTGTTCTAGAGCAAACATGGGAGTTGAAGGTTTTCACCAGGAGTGGCAATCCATTTCTTCATTAGAACTGTTGTTTTCACCATTGGGAAGGAGATCACTTAATACATTATATACAATGAGTGGTTGGTATCTTGTTGGCTTATCCATTATATGTGTATATGGCAAGGGCAGAAATGAGTAAGTGGTACCAAAAAAGGGGGCAAGAAGGAAAAGGCAACCACTGATTCTGTACAAATACCATCCTTTGCAAACTGCCATGGAAGCAAAGGATGGCTTGGACAATCGCCTGTCCTGTGGTAAAAGGAGTTGTCCAACTGTCATACTACCTTTGCTCTGTAGTGACTTCCCTCAAAGCTATACCTTTGAAAGGAGGTGGATGTGGATTTACAGTCGTCTTCTCCTCGTGGAATTTCCTAACTTATCTTTGTATAATATCCATTAAATGCATGGAAAGGTCCTCCCCAATAACCTATTCTTCTTCTCTTTCTTTATGGAGGCACATTAGAATCAATGAAACTCCTTTGGTGTGTAGGTTGTCCCAGAGCACACAGTCAGGTCAGGAGGAGGTACCAGTGGTGCATTTTGGCTTTTGCCATTACCTCAAGTGACCTCAGAGTAAGACCTTGAAAAGAGGACATGCTATTCAGTGGTCACTCATTACTCAAAAAATCAACAACAAAAAATAAATAAGGCAAGCTATCCTTGTGGTTATTGGGTTTTTCATTGGTAAATGCCTATTAAGGTTTTTTTTTTCTTTATTCCACCCAAACGAAGGTACAGGAGTTTGTCCTCCTTTACACTTGGTGACCCTACTTCATGTGAATTACAGTATCTAAAATGTATATCCATAGAATAGTGGTGGCCCACTAAAGGTACCATCTGATTTTCGAAGCTAAACATGATCAGCCTTTGTTAGTATTTGGGTGGCGACTGCCAAGAAAAGCCACAATTTGTAGGCTATATTTCATAGGAAGGAACTGGAAAAACCATATCTGAGTTTCCCTGGTTGAAGAAAACCCATATGAAATCAATGTGGTTGCCATAAGTCAACAGGCACACATTCACACATAGGCTAGTAACCAACAGTGAGATTGGTTCAGTCGCTATTTCAAGGAGTGGCCTATCTCTCCAGTGCAAGAATGAAGGTGGTTGCATAATGCCCCTAGACAGTCCAGGGGGCACACAAAATAATCAGAATGTCCTTTGTTTAAAAGATATATCATTAATGCCCATAGGTTTGGGGGGGGGGGAGAGAGGTGTCGTTCCTTTCTTCAGCAAATTCCAAGTTACTTCCTGATATAAAAAATGGACCTTAAGACAGCCCAGAGTGCAAGGGTTGCTCAGGTTGCCCATCATGCACCTTAGGGAATGTGGAGCAATTTAAAAAAAGGAATCACATTTTTTTTTCCAAAACGTCAGGGGGATGTGGAGTGGAACATAGCCTGCAGACCACACTTTCCCTACCTCTGCCTTAGCGGAACTGAAAGAGGATAATCCCCATGCCCCCTGATTACTTTTTTTTTTTTACTATAGAAGCTTACAGAGGAAGAAAGCTCTGCTGCACTAATCATGTCTGACACATATATGCTGTTGGCTTTAAGTCATAATTTGAGTAATGATCATTCCATGAAAGAACACTCACAACTCCTCACATTTTGTTCAAACAGCAATTTAAAATTTGTGGACATTACCAATTAGCTGTCCATCACCCCCACCTAGCATGGCCAATACTCAAGAAGTCTTGAGAACTGTAATCTAAAGAGAAAGCACTAGACGGGTCAAGACTCTTCCTCCTCCTCCTGTTCTTCTTCTTCTTCAGTCTCGTGCAGATGTGATACCCATGGTTTAACTTAACCACATTCCAAAAATCAATACGCCCAATGTGTTTGTGGGCCTCCAGTGTGATTCTATGGTTTGCTTCCAGCCTAAGATTAATCAAAACACTGAGTTTTCTATAATCCATGGAATGTATCCTCTGCAGATATGGAGGCCAAACTGTATAGGCAGGAATTCCAAACCTATGGCTACAGCAGCATGGAGACCACCAAAGACCTCATTGTTGAAGGCATCATTTCGTGTTAAGCTATGGGACATGCCTTTTGCAGTCTTCTGTTTACTTCCCAAGAAGTATGGAATGGCAATGGGCATTCCAGAGGCTGTTCTACAACTTGCAGGCTTTGGAAGCTGTGGCGGAAGAGACTATAAACTTCTCTAAGTGCCCTCCAAAGGATATATGCAGATATCCAGGAAACGTACATGTACATAGGTCCCTAACAGAATGTCAGCCATTATGTTAAGTAGTATAATATTCTTACTACTCTAACCAAAATGGAACAAAATAGTAAGCATGCCTTTTCACGTTTGGTTTGAAGGAAGTTTGCTAACTCCTTTCAAACCCAATACAGGCCATGTTGTTGATTGGGATGTTGATTGGGATTTAGGAAATCCAGATTCTGATCCTAAAACATAAAATTCCCTGCATGATATTGGGCTTAATTAACTCTTTCTCAGCCAGACCAATTTAACAAGGATGTGGTTGTTGTGGAAAGAACAGCTTCCTTACTGTATGTACAAACCTAAGAAATATTTTTTGAGTTTTGGTTGGCCTAGTAAAGGTATTGGCCTGCTGTGGATTGGCCAACACAAACTATCTTTGCTATTTATAGAGCTTGATCCTAAATGAAAAGCGACATTGTTTTATTATAAGGTGTAAAATCAATGTTTAGAAACCAGCTTCCTTGCTGTGAGGATTTAAAAGGGATTAGTGGAATACTCTGACCAAGTTGTTCTAACCTTAGCAATTGCCTTTCTTCACTTTTGAAAGGAATTTTCCACCTTCAAATTAATCCAGTTACAGCTATTGATTTCTGGTTGTCTTCTAATGTAGCTTTTCTTAAATCTTCTATCAGAGCACATTTGGCAAAAGCTTTGAATTACGCTCATTTACATCCTAAACCAGATCTAAATCATCCAGGTTGTGCCAAAAAAAAGCTGACAAGGTTTGCTGGGATAAGGGATTCTGCCAAAACCAGGGTTTTTGTGGCTTGGCAGAACTGTATCTGCTCAGTATGATCACGAAAAGATATTTTGTCCCAGTGAGCATTTCTAGTGCAGCTGTAAAATTTATGGAGATATATTCTGCAGAATTTTCCTGCTATTTTAGTAGCATTGTTAACAATTGAGGTGCTGTTATTCATATGTGTACTACTATGTCTGCCACCTGACCATTTCTTACATGGCATTTTTCCTGTTAATACACTCAGAAAAATAAACATTTCATGAATTTGAGGTTCATAATTATGAAATATACTTCTGGTCGCAGGTGAACTACATTTTTGAATGAGAAATTTCAAAAACATGAAGGGTGTGACAGAATCCTTTCTGATACATCTTAAGATCTGGCCTTGGAAAGCCCACATTTCTGTGTGTACCATTGTGAATGAAGCTAATCTTAAAAAGACAATGTTACTCAGCACTATCTTAGTCCAAATGCTGGAAATAGCAGTAATGTCATCTGTAAAACCACTGAGAAATGCATCAGATGGGGGAAGTTAGGTCTGCATAAAATGTATGGCTCTTCTCTGGCAAGATGGAGATTCAGAAATCAGGAAAAAATGTATAGTCTCCAGTGATAGTACAAGGAATTAAATGCAAGTAGATAAAATAGGTTTCATTTTTAGCCAGGAGGTAATAAAAGCACCTCAAAAAGGACATCGATTGCAGGAAGCCCCTCGGCATGGAAGATGGAGCAACAGCACCCCCATCCCCCCAGTGGCCAGAGTTGAGAACAGCCTCCAAGACGCCAGAAACAAGATGGAAAATCTGCCTTCACCTCTGTTTGTATTGTTCTTGTTAATTGTATTGTATAATCAGCATTGAATGTTTGCTATATGTGTGTTCTGTAAAGCCGTGCTGAGTCCCCTTCGGGGTGAGGAGGGCAGGGTATAAATACTTATAAATAAAGCACAATAATGAATAAACATGCCTTACAGTGTAGCTCTTTCCCGTATTTTTGAAAACATGAGGTAAAGGTTATGCTATAGTAAAGAAATATATTCATGCAAAGGCACAATAAAATAGCATCCCATTTAAAAAGGGGGGAACAACTCAAGCCAACTGCAGGAGAGGAGCCTGAAGATCTGTGAAATGATATGATATGACAGTAGGGTATGCCTACACACAACAAAAATTGTATTTCTTACAAATGAGTTTATTTGTATTTTTACTGGAGCACAGAGTCTAAATACAGCAGTGTCTTTTCTTCAGTACAACAGTAGAATGGCCAGTGCAAAATATGCATTTTTTTAAAAAAAAAATCTTCATATATATATAAACAAAAAAAGTCTGGCAGTATTACACAAAACTCCTATACTTTGGCCTCATCTTCCATTCACCCTTCATTTAAGTCAGGATTTAAATGGCTGTATTATATAGGTGAACTCCCACAGCCCTTTTGAAAGACAGAAAACCCCCAAATCCCAATCAACTGAAGAAATTAAACATTTTTAAAAAGAGAGTTTAGGAGTCCCCTATAAGAAAAATGGATTTAAAAAAACCATAAACACACACACATAATATACATTTGACATACACAAACAAGTAAGGCACTAATTGAAAGTTGCTGTTCCTGAGACACAAGCGTAGTAAGTTACATCCCACCATCATTTTTGCACATAGTGAAGACTTCAGTCCCAATTCAAGGTTCACCTCAACTACACTGAGAATGAAGCAGAATGCATCTGTCTTAAATCCTTTACCTAATCTGCTTCCAGCATCATCTTTTGGAGGACAAAAAGAAGAGTTCAGGCTCACCAGGTGGGAGGGACAGATTAGCCAGAACAATAGGTTTTGGTACGGATTAAGAAGCTTAAGCATTTGTTGAGATACGAAGTTATTTTTGAGAAAAGAACTTCATGTTTTAAAAAACCTGCTATAAAAACTGTAATTATTCATTTTGTAAGGATGATTGCTACAAAGAGTACAGTATTTATGAATCTGTGAAAATGCAAGCAGTTACAAATGTGCTAAATGTAATTTTGAACCATTCATTATATTCTTCAGTGATATCAGATTCCTATTTCAACTATACAGTGTATGTATGATTTAAATGTTCTCCCTCACTTCTGAGAGCCAGATGAAGCCAAGTAGAAAACAGACCAAAGCTGCAACCGAAAGAGCCACACGCATTTTTGAGCATGAGGACCTGGCCATCTCTACAAATGTCAAAGTTTGGACTGCAAGGCAGCAGCACAGAGTCTGTTAACCCAACTGTTGGGAATGGGCAACCCGTTGGGCATTGTGTGCCCAGCTTCTAATCCAGTGAATGGCACTGTAGTTAAAACCCCATGCGCTGGAGGCGGGTACCCAGCCACAAGAGACTTGTGTGTATTTCTTGTCTATATGCACAGTTCCTGATCCGCCAGAGTGTGTCTACGTAGAAGCCTGCTTCTGCACTCCTTGGACCAAGGTGCAAGTGTCCAGCTCATATACATGTCAATGCATGCTGTGCATTGCATCTGTCCAGTTTTACATGATTTTCAACACAACTAAAAACAAACAACACAAAGACCCCATTAACACCTGCCCAATGGCAGAACCAGAGGTTACAAGAATTATATCAAAGCACTCAAGCTTAGCAAAACAGACTTCATTTTACCACAGATGTCTGCTTTTGAGCTTCCTAGCAGGAAAAAGAAATTCACGTTTACTTCAGGCATTATAGTTCTTTAGAGAGAGGGTTTCTTGGTAAAATAAAATTCCATATAGGACCAGAGGGTTAGAAAATGGATGAAGACTATTTGAACATCCAACCAAATGAAAAGCAAAGAGCACTGATTCCAAACATTTTGCTTCCATGTCCAGGCTTTGCTCTCCATACCACTGAGTGCATGATTGCAAACGGAGGCATGTTAACACATTCATCCCACTTTCAAGTGTTTTTATGACAATAAGACAGAAATGACAAATCCTAGTCACAGCAATGTTGAAAAGCAACTTCTAAAATATTACTTCTTGCTTTCTTCTTGCTTTCCGAATGGGACTATTGGTGTTTCTCCTTCTTTCCTATAGGTCAAGCCCCAGCCTTGGGTTTGCACAACCTGAGAAAGGTAGATGGCTGGAGCTCCTGGAGGTCTCCCACTCTAATGTCATTCATAAATCAAAGTTGACTAGCAACAACAGCACAAACATTTGTAATGGGGAACACAAGATAGCTGAAAAGGGATACTGAGGTATTTTTTGAAAGGGAGAGCAGCTCAAAGAGTGATGAGAAGAAATAAAGACCTGGTACACAGGCATGGTAGATATTCAAGGCACAGAGATATGGTTTCCTGACCAAATCTGTTATTTTTTTCTGCCATAAAAGTGAATGTAAGTAATTCACATCTACAGCAGTAACCAATTTTCAGACATATCACTGGAAGAAGGGCAACACACACACACACACACACACCAAACATATTGTCTTCCCAAGTAATATATTTTGCTATGTTTCATGGGACAACTCAACTGTAACTAGAGATGCATTCTCAGCAACCATAGCCAGCCCTTTCTTTTGCAAAGTGGGAGTTGCTGAGTTTTATTGTGCAGAACGAAAGCTAGTGTCAGGGGCACATAGCAGATGAATCAGTTTTAACCTATTTTTAGACTTCCAGTAGTTCTCAACCTGTGGGTCTCCAGATGTATTGGCCTACAAGTCCCAGAAATCCCAGCCAGTTTAACAGCTGTTATGATTTCTGGGAGCTGAAGGCCAAAACATCTGGGGACCCACAGGTTGAGAACCACTGTTATGGGAGAAATTTTGTTTTCATGAAGATATTTGTCTATTTTTTTAAAAAGACATACTATTTTGAATAAAGATGCAAAGTGTCCTATATCTAAGTCATCCTAAAAGGAAAGACAAAAAGATGAAAGATTGGGAAAGGAAAAGCCAGGTGGAAGGAGAGAAAAGGAAGGAGAGTGAAGAAAATTTCTAATGTGTTCTGAAATTTACACACGTTAAATTTTCTGGTTAGGGCATTCAGTTCAAAGGAGCACTTTATTCAAATGTGTTTTCCATCTTTCCAGTTTGAATTGCAGAGATGTGAGTGAGGCATCATAGTCTAGAGCTGTTTATAGTCCCATGACACAGAGAGGTGGGTCATTTCAAAATGACATGGTAGCCATCGTTACTTTCAGCTGCAAGACAATTATTAAAAAAGAAAACATTTGTCAGTGTTTTGCTGCTTTGCCCAAGATGACTAAAATCTTTTTCAGTCTGTACTTTCCTTAGCCAGCTTGCATAACAGGATATATAAAATATAAAAATATAAAAAAATCCCATGCTTTAATATATCTGAAGGATATCATAGTGAGCTTACAGAACACTTTCTGAGTTACTGAAATGATGGGAAAAACTAGATTGGTAAACTGAGGGAGAAAAGAGACAATAATACCCATATAGAAATTAGTAAAACTAGATCAACACTTGCAGTGAGAAAGGCTATTCCAATATGCTTATGTTTACACTGATAAAATACAGAGTAATATAAATGATGAGTGTTTGTGTGTGCCTGCATGCATATGCAACACAGAGGATTGAATGACCCAGACTTCCAGACCCTGTAACATAATGAATTCTGGGAATTGCAGTCCAACCAACAATGGAAGAAACTATGGTTCTGGGGTAGAGCACATACTTTGTATGCAGAAGGCTCCAACTGCACTTTCTGGCATATCCTGGAGGAATCTGGCTTGAAAACCTAGTAATGGTGCCAATCAATGTCAGTAATAGAGGTGAGATAGATCAGTGGTTCCCAATCTTTTTTTGACCAGGGACCACTTGACTAGGGACCACTTTGACCAGGGACCACTCTCCAACATTAGTACAAATTAGTTTTTGGTCAACTTTAGATTTGGTTTGGTTATTTGGTGCTGATTTAGAAAATTGTATAGGCTAGACCACATCAGCTCTAGTTTCCGATACACAACATATGCCATCCAGTAGTTGCCATCTGCTTGCCCACAGAAAATATTTAATAAGCATGGCACTATAAGCGCGTTTTCCAAGGCCAATCGCTCTTGTTGCAACAGTGTAGTAACGGTGAGGCCACAGAGCATATTTTAGTTCTTGTGGACCACTTGTGGTCCATGGACCACAGGTTGGGAACCACGGGGATAGATAAATGGTCTAATTCACTATAAGATAGCCTTTCTGCATCTGCAAAGTACCAGGTTGAGAAAATGTCTTTGGGTGGAGAAGATACTATACATATAATTGGATACTGCAATGCAGTTCCTCTTGATTTATTTGTTGGGTTTACACTAAGATGGAGACCCCTTTACAAAGCAGAGGGGAAATACTGTAGGCTGCATTTTGATCCTTGTATTCTAGGTAAATGAGATGCCATGTAAAATTATAGGAAAATGTATGCAAACATACCTTTTAATGTAGAGATGACAAAGCAGCATTCATCTTGAAAGTTTTGAACCATCTGTATAAAGACACAAATCGAAGAGTTAATTTTTGCTTGAATAATTACAACGCTCCATTTGTCTAATGCAGTGGTTCCCAGCCTTTTTTTGACCAGGGACCACGTGACCAGGGACCACTCTCCAACATTAGTACCAAAAGGGTTATGAATCAGTTTTTGGCCAACTTTAAATTTGGTTAGGTTATTTGGGGTTCTAATTCATAAAACTGCATTGGATAGACCACATCAGCTCTAGTTTCTGCTACAGAACATATGCCATCCAGTAGTCGCCATCTGCTTGCCCATAGAAAACCATATTTAGTAATCTAGAGCTGATGTGGTAGTAGTAATCTTTCATGGGTAGTCAGTCTCTTCCCTCCCAATATTTCTGTTGCCTTGGCACTATAAGAGTGTTTCATGAAACCAGCCGCTCTCATTACCGCATGGCTTCAAGGCAACGATGTAGTAATTAATGGTGAGGCCGCAGACCATATTTTTGTTCTTGATGACCACTGGTGGTCCACAGACCACAGGTTGGGAACCAGTGGTCTACTGTAGCTCACCAGAAGCATGTTATGTACTACAAAGAAGTATATAACAACCTGGTCTAAATACTATAGGGCAACGGGACCTGCTTCTGCTTGGAAGCTAAGCAGGACCAGCTCTGTTTAGTACTTGGACAGGAAACCATCAATGAACACCAAATGCTATAAGACTTTATTTCAGAGTAAGGAACTGGAAAAACTACTTCTGAATACTCCTCACCTAAGAAAACCCTATGAAATACATTTAGATGAAATACATTTCTCTTCATTCTGGAAAGAAATCCAATGCATGAGAAAAAAAGAAAAGGATAGTGTTTTGGATTTCTTATTCTTTTTTAAAGAAGAAAATAGGGCTTATTTATCATCTGCAGAAATATCTACTCAAAAATATTTTGATGTTTCTGTTCCATTTCCATCCTATGGATGGATATAAAAGATTTCATGTGATAGATTTCTTGTACTGACTTGAGTTTGTGTATGTTGGTTTTCGACATTAAAATTAAGAGAAAGATCAATCATGATCAATTTTCCAATTTCTGATATTGTTTACCGCTAAATTATGTTGCAAAACAGATGTATATTCCAGATATGTGGATGCTATTTCAGAAAAAGTGGCAGGTCACAAAGAGTTACATACATAAGAAAAGCAGCTATTTACTATGTCACAATAATTTCTTCAAATCTCGAGAGTTGTAGAGAGCACAAGAATTGCTCCCTGTTATTGCCATTTTTGGAGAAGAAGCTTCCTTCTTCATAACAGCGAAGTTAGCATTTCAAGCTTGACTTCCCCACCCATTTCCATACAGAAAAATATCCACTGGAATTGAGGTCAATTTTCCCACCTTGCACATACGTAGAGAGAGAGGGAGAGAGTACAGGCAAGCACATGTCTAATGATGCATGAAGAACATCCATTTGGTCCCTCTTGTTTGCATCACTTTTGCTGCCTTGCTACTAGGACACAAAAATTAGGCAGTCACTGTTGTTAATCAGTAACCTAAGCATTTAATGAAGGGGCCTCCTTGCATCAATGCTGGCTGAGTGCATTCCCCTTTCCAGAGGCTGCCTTCCAGCATTTGATGGCCATTTAAATGCTGAAAGTTTCATATTCATTGGGGTAAAAGAGTAGAGTGACTTTCATTTATAGCTTCAATAGCACACCCACACATGCTTTAACCTTTCTCCAGAGGTCATATGAAATAAATTAAATGGCTCCACAAGAAAAGGCTGGAAATTCAAGCCATGAAAATATGGAACATGTGAAAATAAAATGAGATATTTTATGGGGAAATTGTTGGAATGAAGCAAAGGCCTAATAGGAAGGTCTACTTCTAAGAAAATACATAGATTATGAGGGCTCAGAAAAACTGTCAATATGGTATCCCTAAAATGTCCTTATCATAGGGTTTTCTTAGCAAAATTTGTCATTGGCCTCCTCTAAGGCTGAGAAAGAGAGACTCGCCCAAGGTCACCCAGGAGGGACTCAAAGCCTAGTCTCCAGAGTCATAAGGTAAATATAAAGATTTCCCCTGGCATTAAGCTTAGTTGTGTTCGAGTATGAGGGGTGGTGCTCCTCTCCATTTCTAAGCTGAGGAGCAGGTGTTGTCTGTAGATACCTCCAAGGTCATGTGCCAGGCATGACCGCATGGAGTGCCATTACCTTCCCGCCATAGTGGTACCTATTGATCTACTCACAATTGCATGTTTTCTAACTGCTAGGTTGGCAGAAGCTAGTCCTAACAGAGGGAACTCACCCCATTCCCTGGATTCGAACCACCGACCTTTCGGTCAGCAAGTACAGAAAATTATTGGTTTAACCTTCCGTGTCACCAGGGGGCCCCTCCAGAGACATAGCCCAACACTAAAACCATTAGACCATATTGGTGCCTTATCATATAAATCTCCCTGATATCTTAATTCAGAGGTGGGCAGATAGCAGGCTTACAGGATCTACTGCTTTTTTACTAGATCCCTGAGATGTACCATGAACCATGTCCAGCAGGGCTGCTGTGCTGAGAGGAAAGGAGAAGCTATATGCCTAAATTAATGCAATTTTATTGGTATCTATTTTTATTTTGAAATTTACCAGTAGCTGCTGCATTTTCCACCCTAGGCTTATACTCAAGTCAATAAGTTTCCTCAGCTTTTTGTGGTAGAATTATATGCCTTGGCTTATATTCAGGTCAGCTAATACTCAAGTATATACGGTAATTTTCTTAGGCAAAGAATACTCAGAAGTGGTTTCCCATTGCTTTCCTCTGAATACAGTATATCCTAAAATGGCTAGTATGGCTGGGCAGCTTCCCTTCCAATTAATAACCAGATCTGAGCCTGTTTCACTTCCACGTTCAAATAGGACCTGATGCTTCAGGGTTTTTTGGTCATATTTTCAAGGTAGGAGAGATTGAAATAGTACAGAATAATATTAGGGAATGTCATAGAAACCATAAAGACAGAGGTGGAAGGAACTGTTCATGGTGCTGAAACCACATCACTATACATTATTCCCAATAAACCCCTATTCATTAAATACTTTAAAGGCAGCAGATCCCTGTCTCATCTTGGGAAGCTAGGTAGGGTCAGTTCTGGTTATTCTTGGCTGTCAGACCACCAATGTATATTAGGTGACTTTGGCTATACCTGGGCAGAGGTTCTGCTTTGAACTGAGACCCCACCCCAACCTCCTGCCACTTATTCCTTGGCTATGGCACCTGATAAGCCACCTGTACCTCTCTCATTCTAACAAAGAGCCACACGGGTTTGCCATTTTTCCAAGTTAAGATGTTCTGTTCTTAACCAGAGAGAGAGATTTATCATAAGACTCAGAAATCTTGAAAAGGTCATGGAGTCCATAGTGAGAGGAGGACTCTATAAACATAATCCTGAGAGAGCCATCTTGAAAACCAAAAGCATATTCTAATGAAATTCTTACCTCATTGCTCACTAATACATGGATGCCTGTGGGTCCCTGCCGATAGATCCTGTTTATCTGTTGTGGGGAAATACTGTACAAGTTTGCAATCTTCTCCATTAATTCCAGTGTTGTCAGTTCTTCTAAGAAGATAGCATGGTATACTGCAATGACATTGGGTAAAGAGACTTATTTAGACTCACACTTTAGGATCCAAATGCACTGAAGACAAAAAGCTAACACTGATGTAAACAGACCTTGTGTTTGCTTTAATATACACCAGGAATCCTGGACTAGGTGATAAAAGGCTCTTCACCAGAGGCTAAAGTGCACAAACCTACCCTTTCCCACCCTGTAGTTGGATAATCTAGACAAGTTCAAAGCCAGTAATATAAAACAGCTGAACATGGTGAGGTGAGACAAAGAATGAATCAGGTTTATAAGTATAGATGAAATATTTTATAAAAATAGCCATTTTGTTAAAACAGGTATAGATTTTTAAAATCTGTGGAATTCATAATGCTCAAGGCTTGCAATCTTAGCCAAAAGAACAAAACACTTACTACACAGGTTGCCATCTCCATTCTCTCGTTTTTGGTGAATATGAGACCGATTTTGTTCAGGCTCTTGACACACATAAATGGTCATCTTAGGCCTTACGTTCCTACAGACAAAACAAGATTCTGTCCTCAATACCAGCATGGTAATTCCTGTCAAGCCATTAAAACCCACTGGGTGGCCTCAAAAGAAGGTAAAGGCCAATCAATCTGAACAGACATTGGAAAAAAAAACCCATGATAAGCTGTCTTAGACTCATCATAAGTCAAAATTGACTCAAAGTCACACAACATCATCATCAACAACCACCACTGCCACCACCAAGAGGATACACAATACCATAACATTACATTGTAGATAATATAGAATCTCTTTTTAAAGCAGAAAACCAACCAGAGCCAAATTCCAGTCCACTTTCTGGTTTTTAGAAAGGTTTAAGACTAAGACGGGGAACAGTGGCTTCAAACTACAGGAAAGGAGATTCCACCTCAACATGAGGAAGAACTTCCTGACAGTGAGAGCTGTTCAGCAGTGGAACTCTCTGCCCTGGAGAGTGGTGGAGGCTCTTTCTTTTGAGGCTTTTAAACATAGGCTGGATGGCCATCTGTCAGGGGTGTTTTGAATGCAATTTTCCTGCTTCTTGGTAGGGCGTTGAACTCGTTGAACTTGGTAGGGGGTTGAACTTGGAAGAGCCCACGAGGTCTCTTCCAACCCAATGATTCTATGATTCCCCTGAATATAAAAAGTCTAGAGGACACCAAATCTTGGCAGAATTAGACCCATCCCCTCTTGGGATATTTTTCACCAAAAACAATTACTGGAAGAAGAGGGCAATTGTGGGGAAGGGGATCTTGAGGGCCTCAAAACCAGCCTATGGTGCGTTGCATGTACCAGCAAGCCATTTTGTCCCATACTGGAATGGAGAAGGATTATCTGAAAATTTCCAGTAGTATAACTTGGAAGTTAAAGACCTTAATATTATATGAGATTTCACAAATCTGAATGAGCAATGGCTACTACTGTCTCCGATGCCAACAGGTATTGATACAAACCTTCCTTTAATGGCGTTAAAAAGTCGAATGCCATCAGCCGGGCCACAGATCTGAACGAAATCTTCTTTGGACATCTTCAGTAAGTCAGCACCTATGCATTTCAAGCAGAAATTGTTTTTGCGCCAAAAGTATTATTAAGGTGTTTTGCTGGTAAAGGTAGAGGTTACAAATTCAAATTTTATAACTTTCAAGCAGACAACTGAAAAGAAATTCCATTCATATCTGCACAGGGGAGTCAGTGGAGTGGGTCCAGAACTGACATGGGCAAACTTTGGCCCCACAGGTGTTTTGGACTTCAACTCCCACAATTCCTAACAGTCGGTAGGCTGTTAGGAATTGTGGGAGTTGAAGTCCAAAACACCTCGAGGGCTAAAGTTTGCCCATGCCTAGTCCAGAAGGATGCAATCATGAGCATGGGCAAAAAACAAATTTGTAACAACAATTTGGACTCATTATAACTATAGAGGCAAATCAGGTGTTTTTTTTTACAATCTTTATAGACATTATTTTCTGAACATAACTGAGAATGCAGGCTTGAGAATGTGATACTCAATTAAAACCAAATTAAAATACAAACACAATGTGCTAGATTGAATGAGATGCTTCATTTTCCATGCTAACAAAAGTATTTTTTGACATTTTCTGATTTTGGACTGGGTCCTGATCCTCCAAATAAGCAAAGGGCACCTGTACAGGGGGGGGGGGGGGGGGGACAGCTCACTGCTTCCAAAGATGTTTAGAAACCTACACAAAAACTTAGAACACTGGTTCTCAACCTGTGGGTTCTGAGATGTTTTGGCCTTCAACTCTCAGAAATCCTAACAGCTAGTAAACTGGATGGGATTTCTGGGAGTTGTAGGCCAAAACACACGGAGATCCACATGTTGAAATTGAGAACCACTGACTTTGAATAATATTATATCATTGTGGGGATAGTCCATGCTCCCGTTTGCTACTTTTCACACTACGAATGAGTGCTTGAAGGAGATTTTTCTCACAAGAGCACAACCTTGAAGGATAATGCACTTTGTGAAATTAAAATGGAGTTGTTTCACAACAAAACCATTTATTTAATAGTAATAGGTTTATTCCTGCCCCACTCCCATGATGTCCCACATTAAGCACACATACCTGAGAAACTTGAAAAGAGTCTACAGAACTGAGAAAACCTATTTCGATGAAGCCACTGCTGAGCATCTTGAATGGAAGCAGAGGGAAGGAGATGCTACATTGCAAAAAGAATAAGAGGGTCTTGAAATGAACTGTTCACCAGTGTCCTAAAAAAAGAAAAGCACCACATTAACATGATCTCAAATACTTACGTCATTGCTGGGAGGTAGGAGCTCCACCTGTTCAGTTGGAGAATTGTTGCTAAAATTGTACAGAATTGGGAAAGAAAAAAGGATTTTTAAGTCTTATCAGTCATGTTGGCCAACCCCACCGATCCCATGATCCAGTTTGGTCTGAGGTCTAGCTCTAGTTTTCTGTTCTAGGGGGGTTGTTCTTTTAATCTCAAATAACAGGCCTGAAGTGAAAATCTTTTTTCAATACTGTAACTGTTTATAATATGCTTTGAGATATTGGGTTTGAAAGGCAGAATAAAAAACCTTGTCCGTATGGATAGCTTAGCTACTATAACAATGGCTTTGGTTTCTGATGTTTCAATGGGCCCACACTTTGTTTCATATACATTATTTAAAACATTATCTATAAAATTACTTTCAAGCTATATGTATAAGGTATGTATGAAACATAAATGAATTGCATGTTTAGACTTGGGGGGCCCTTTACAAAATGTATATACACATACAAGTATTCCAAAATTTGGAAAAATCCAAAATCTAAAACATTTCTGGGCCCATGTGTTTTGGATAAGGGATACACAACCTGCACCACTATTTCGCAAATTCTATTACTGATTTATATGCTAATTTCAGTCAGTCACATCTTACAACATAATAATGTCAAAGCAAATTATGGAAAGAGCGGTATGCGAGGGAGCAAATATGAGGTCGTTCCTGGATTTAGAACACCAAATTCCTCTGAACCTGCACTAAGGCCACAAATGGATGCATCTGCAATGTAGAGACCACCACTGAAACTGTTTGACACTACTTTAACTGCCATGGTTCAGTGCTATGAAATCCTTAGATTGATAGGTTGCTGTGAGTTTTCTGGGCTATATGACCATGTTCCAGAAGCATTATCTCCTGACGTTTCACCACATCTATGGCAGGCATCCTGAGAGGTTGAAGGGTCTGCTGGAAACTAGGCAAGAGAGGTTTATATATCTGTGGAATGTCCAGGGTGGACAGGTGTGAATGTTGCCATTGGCCACCTTGATTAGCATTTAATGACCTTGCAGCTTCAAATCCTCGCTGGCTGCTGCCCAGGGGACTCCTTTGTTGCAACATTCACACCTGCCTCGGGCAGACAAGAGTTCTTTCTCCCACCCTGGACATTCCACAAATATATAAACCTAACTTACCTAGTTTCCAACAGACCTCACAACCTCTGAGGATGCCTGACATGGCCATACAGCCCGAAAAACTTACAACAACCCAGTGATTCCAGCCATGAAAGCCTTTGACAATACTTAGATTGATAGTTTGGTGAGGCACCAGACCTCTTTGGCAGAGAAAGTTAAAGTAATGTTAAACTGGATGAATTCATCACTCGGTAGGTGTACCCTTTCAGGAAACCTTTCCTAAGTAGTGAAAAGAAGCAGTGCAGAAATATTTGCATTTGTGTACTCTTCTCATTTGTAATAATGTTTTATTTCATTCAGATGTTGGACATGATTGAACACAGACTATGATCATAAATTCCCTCATCCAAGGCAAGAAAAAAGTCCTGCTGCATTTGATCCATGTGTTCATTTCTCATCTCAGCCCTCCTTCCTAAAGAGGTCATTTTGGTTGTATTAGGAGACAAGTAAACTAAGCTCACATTATTCCCAGAAAATTACTAATTTACTGCAGGTTTTTAAAAAGCAAATATTGGATATAGGCACAAGTCTGTTCTACAAGTTGAAATCTAATCATTTTCTAATTATTTTTTGACGAATTTAACAGTAATACTGAGAGTCGAAGTATTGCAATGGCTGGACACGAACTAAGAAGAACTAAGTTCAAATTCTCACCAGTCATAATGCCCCCTCACTGGGAGACTTAGCGTACATCTGTAGAATTAATGCAGTTTAGAACAATTTTAATTGCTAAATCTTAATGCATAACTCCTTGGAGTTGTACTTTGGTGGGCAAAAAAACTACAATTTCTAAGATTTCATAGCAATTGTAAAACTACAATTTCTAAGATTTCATAGCAGGCAGCCATAGCAGCTAAAATGGTGTTGAACTCCATTATTACTACAATGTAAATACACACCATGCTAATTACCATCTCTCAAATCAATTTATTTCACACATATTTTGGAAGGCAAGGTGGAGAAAGGAGAGAGCAACGTGTCCAAACCCAGCTTTCTGAAGGAGAAACAGAGCATGGCTATACTACCATAAACAAAACTATCTTCTCCTTCTCCTGTCCATCCAACAACTACCTTTTGACCATGTGAGAACTGGGCAAATGCACATGTCTTGCAGTCTTGCAGCCTCCATACCTCCATGTTAAGCATGGCCTGAATGGAAGGTTAACCTTCCTAATCTTTCTATACTCAGAAGCATTTTTTAAAAAGCTCATACAAAGCAGAAGATTATTGCTTTGCTGCCAGCTAAAAAGATAAAAAGTATTTATCACATACCCATCTCCAAGGCTGAAACTGTTTGGAGAGCTGTTGTAACTTGGAGACGGAGCGTTGCTCACTTGATAAGGCACATCTGGCCACGGGGAGCACTGTTTAAACAAAACCAAATTAGGAACATTGTGAAGTGTGTGTTTTGAACGAGAAAAATGGCAGTCTGGTTTTCTTTCAAAACCAGTTTTGATTACATCATTAAGAACAACAAGGAATTCATTTGTCACCCATAATTTCTTCTGATCTTTCCAACCAGAAGGACACATAATTATCTGAGGTGACTCAGACATTAAGAAGCAAGGGATTAAATTAAAACTCTTTATCCCAGACATAAAAATATATCCATGCAAATAATGTAGTAACATTTTTCGACAGTGGCAATTATGACAGTAAACAAAAGAGCACTCAGGAGGCAGCTCAGTGAAAATAATCAGCAGTTTATGCAAATAAAGTATCAAATACAATATGTTATAGTGCATTTTAATGTCAACTTATTTTGGACATGCAGCCATACTACTAAAGGGAGTCAAGCATAGTATGGAGGTTACAGAGAAGTGGATAGAAATCATATCTGATCTCTTTCAAAACATTTTTCTTATTCTTCACTTCATTGCAGCAGTTTGAATTAAGGGTAAATCCACAGAATCCAGATGTCTAATACCGGCTGTATAAATAACCTGTTAAAAAGTACAGGAACATTCAACAAAATATTTCTCCTGGGTGACATCCAACATCGCACAAGCGGACTGCCACTCACAACACAACAGGAGTTCACTTCCTTCCCCCTGTAGCTCCCCTTTGCTATCCAAATCTGCCCAGAGGTTCCTCCAGCTCTACACAGGCCAGATTTGGGAGGTCCATGCAGAGAGGTGTGAAACGGCAAGAGAGAATCCATTTAGCCAAAGGTCCCTGTTGAGCTGGCTTCAATCTCCGTTTGCGAAAACAGAAGAGAGGCAAATCTGTGATAGTCACTCAGATTTTTTTCTCAGCAAATACCGGAGAGTTAGCAAATATTTAACTCTTTGTTAACAAGGACCTTATGATTTCCAGCATCAAGGTGCTAAAGGTCATCCCTGTCAAAAGAGGGCTACTCCAATCTGGGTCACTTTCCATGCACAGGCTTCGCTGCCCTGACCTGTTTGGGCAGATATATGAGGGCTGGCTAAACTATATACAAATATTTAAAGGCTTCATGAATGGAGCAGCAAGGATGTTTCAGCTCCTTTTTAAACAAACTTGCAATTTATGTCAGGAGTGGACCATTGCAACAAGTGCGATACCATTAACTTCAGGCCAGAAAACGGCTTTATTTTATGCTAGACAACTGCTTAATTTTATGCCAAAACCAGCACCCAGAAATGCAGTCTACTTCCAATCAAGAGTTTTGGGGTATTTTTCTAGTTTCAAGCAAAGGTTTTTGGAAGTGGTAATTATCCACTTTGACCATTTGGGAAGAGGAAAACATCTTCCTGAAAAAGGTAAGGGAGAATATCTGAGTTGTTAGGGAGACTGGGGGTAAAGATGGGAGTTAAGAGATGCACAAAGGGCCGCGAGCTTTTCTTTCACCACTCCTCCATTAAGTCTTCGTTTTGTGAACTCAAAAAGTGTCAAAATGCAACAAAGCCACACAAATAGGATAATACTAGACCAACCTAGCAAATTCATAAGGAAGTTAATGTATTCATTTAACAATTTTGTTCTACACAATGGCTGAACACACTCAAAAACACAAAAAAATGTATACACAAAAAATGTAAAATATAGCACATTAGTACAATTGCAAAAAGTGGGAGGGACAATCTAAACTCATGCTTTAAAAGCTGGGAGAGTAAAAATCAATCTTTCTTTGAGGCTGACGGCATCGCATTCTATGTACCAGGCACTTGGCAATTAGAAAGAATATCAAAAGTATCAATGAAAAAAAATATTATTGCATCAGCTATATACCACAACTGTTCTTGCCCAGGATGTGTAATCACTTTGCAGATCAGGGTGCACAATCTTTTCCAAAACTACAAGTGACTATTGGTTTTGCTCTTCAATTTTCAGTTTTTCATGATACGATGAAATATACCAGTGGTTCTCAACCTGTGGGTCCCCAGATATTTTGGTCTTCAACTCCAAGAAATCCTAACAACTGGTAAACTGGCTGGGATTTCTGGGACTTGTAGGCCAAAACACCTGAGGACCCTTAGATTGAGAACTACTGGAATATATCCTTAAGACCTGTAATTGGTCAATTACATGACTTAAGAGTATATTGGTTTCCAAAACATGCCACATCTGGACACCATTAAAGTTAAGACACACACCTGCACACAGAGAGTTTATCCAATTCAACATCTTCATGAATTCAACATAAAATATTTTTGTTTGGCTGAAATGTTGATGTTCATTCCCATGTTGCCGCCAGTCAATCAAAGCCAAGGTCACTGTAGCTGTGGAGCAACCGTACCTCTGTCAGGATGGTGGTATCATAGGAAGGCTGATATTTCTCCCTTTCTTGAGTAGTTTTCTTCTCCATTTTTTCTCTGTCTGTTTTCTGTTTCCTATCTGCTCCTTTAGGCTAGAAAACCACATAAAATATAGTTTAGCTTAACCAAGGATTGATGAATGGAGAGTCCAGATGTTTCTGATGGTATCTGAACAAAAGCAACATTGAATCACAATTTAACGGATATTCTTCACTGAGAAGAATGTTTGCTACAGGGTACATGAATACATACTTCTGGGCTCCATTAATGCTAGCATCAATAGCGCATCTTATTCAAGTTGAACAATGTGTAATTATTAGGATCCATTGCTTAATTTTTGTATTACATTTTTCACTGAATGCAAAAAAAAGTGGTTCCAAGTTGTGTAGGATGTTGGTGAACTGAATTTGCAACTTATTAACCTTAAACTTTCTCACCCTTTTTATCTATATGGATAATTATATATATTCTTTATACATAAAGGTTCATTTGATAAAGTAGCCATTAGTTTCCCATTATATGCTTTTAATGTTTGTTATTTTGCAATGAACAAAACAAAAATAATAAACCCAGCCAGTTCTAAGCATGAATTCTAACTCATGTCTTGTGTTTAATCTCTGTTGTGTGTATTTTAATATGTATTTTAAGGAAATATGTTTGAATAAGTATCTTTTATAGATATACATTTTAATATGTATATTTATAGATTTTTTTTGCAATTTTTATGTGTTTCAATTATGCTGCAACCTACCTTCAGCCACAAGGAGAGGTGAATAAAAATATAATAATAATAATAATAATAATAATAATTTTAAATAACTTGTGTCAATCGAAATTGCATTCATCCTTCCTTTTCTAGTAGCTTACCATTTTCCTCATATCATCTGCCAACTTCATTCAGGAATCACAAAGTAAACACAAAACGTCAAAGGCAACTGAGATCACTATTCCATATATGTTCCAAAATATAAAATCTCTGAATGTTACCTTATTCTCCTTACCTTAAATACTTTGATCTGGCAACTTGCAGAATGCAAGTGTTCTGTATATTCGCCATTCTCATTCTGTTTGAATGTGTCCATTTGTATCCGGAAAGGTACCCCTTTCTCTCCTCCATGTTTTCTTGGAGTAAATTCTGTACTGATACAGTGGACCTAATCAAAGGGATAGTGTTTAGGATTTAAAGTAGAGCACATTTAGGGTTTTCTGGAAGGCTTTCATGGCCGGAATCACTGGATTGCTGTAAGTTTTTTGGGCTGTATGGCCATGTTCCAGAAGCATTCTCTTCTAACGTTTCCCCTGCGTCTATGACCTCACATGTATTGTCGAAGGCTGGGTTGTTGTAGGGTTTTCGGGCCATATAGAACATGGCCATATAGTCCGAAAACCCTACAACAACCCAGTGATTCCAGCCATGAAAGCCTTTGACAATATATTGCCGAATGCTTTCATGGCCAGAATCACTGGGCTGTTGTAGATTTGACCTCACAATCTCTGAGGATGCCTGCAAGAGATGCAGGCGAAACGTCAAGAGAGAATGCTCCTGGAACATGGCCATACAGCCCGAAAAACTTACAACAAGCCATTTAGGGTTTGATTTGGTTTTTCAAAATGGGGAGAGTGGAGATTTTGAAAATGTCACCAGTCCTTTAACTGTGCTTAAGAAACTGATGTCAAAACAATAGATATATATGGTCCCACTTGTTTAGAATAGAGCCCATTACAGCCCATAGGCCAGTGGTTCTCAACCTATGGGGCCCCAGATGTTTTGGCCTACAACTCCTAGAAATCCCAGCCAGTTAGGATTTCTGGGAGTTGAAAGCGAAAACATCCCGGGTCCCACAGGTTGAGAATCACTACCATAAGCCACATGCAAGCCCTATCCATGAAGGCCACTCCAATATAGTAACCACCATCTTTTTTAAAAATTGCAAATAGATTCTCAGACATTCTTGATATTCCCATATTCTTTGAGCCTGAGCTGGACTTTTGTCCATGCAAAAAAGGCAGCTCCAGAATCTAAACCATATGAAATGTGGGTATCATAGTCATTATAGGGCAAATATGGTCCCTGGGCCTCAAAAGATTGCCCTGGCTGGCAATGACAGGAGTTGTAGTCCAGCACACCAGGAAAACATCAGATTGTCCTCTACAATATCATTCCATCTATATCTATTCCTATCTGTCCTTTCAAGATCTATCATGACTGCAGAATTCAATTCTAATTTTTAATTATATGTAGTGATTTTACTCAAATTCTTTTAAATCTTCAATAAGGTATAAATTTCATGGAACACCATATTCCAAATAAAAGGATGACTTCTTTCAAAAGAGACAGAAGCAGTTTTTATGTAATTCTCAGAAGGTATTACCTGTGGGTAACTTTTTCTTACCTGAATGAATGCTGATGCCCTCTTAGATGGATCCCACAAAAATTCAACTGTATTCAGCTGTGTTGGACTGGCTCTGGGGTCTAAGATACCAACAGACAGTGGGATATCTGTAGAAGAAAACCCCTAAAATTTTAAAAAAATTAAAATTGAAGAGTAGAAACATTGCAATATAAACATCAGATTCATTTGAAAAGCCACCCAAACAGAAGCACGAGTGATTTTATGTTGGAAAAGATCCAACTATTTTTTTTCCTTGTCTTGCTTTCATTAGCATTAAAATAATCTCTTCCAAGCTTTTCACTTAGAATCAGAATGGATATGCTGGCATGTAAGCTGATTTTCCTTTCCTGAAAAGTGGGGTATAAATTTATTATACAAATAAATTATTTAAATAATGCACTTGTCATGGAATGAAACAGACATGAATTGTTATCTCAACTTTGAAAAGGTCGATTCATCCAATAGCAAATAAACAGCCACACTGAAAACATATACACCTATATAACAACAGCCACTTCAAAGAGAAAGGCCATACATTGATACAGAAAGAGGTATCATAATGAAATGTTCTCACCTATATCAAGGATGCGATCTCCAGGCCGACTCCACCTCCAACCTTCAAGCTGCTGGTGTTCTGTATACTGCAAGCGCCGGTCATGGAAAACCACACGAATTATGCTCTTTTGAGAGAGGAGAAGAGGGCAAAGTTGATCAAGTGGTTCAAGTGTATTGTTATAAAGGTAAAGGTTTCCCGTTAACATTAAGTCTAGTCATGTCCGTCTCTGGGGGGAGGTGATGCTCATTTCCATTTCTAAGCCGAAGAGCCGGCATTGTCCTTAGATGCCTCCAAGGTCATGTGGCCAGCATGACTGCATAGAGCACTGCTACCTTCCCACAGAAGCTATAACTACTGATCTACTCACATTTGCATATTTTTAAACTGCTACGTTGGCATAAGCTGGGGCTAACAATAGGAGCTCACTCCACTTCCTGGATGTAAACCACTGACTTTTGGGTCAGCAAGTTCAGCAGCTCAGCAGTTTTTATGTAATTCTCTACAATGGTCAACCATCACTTATATTTCAATTATTCTATAAGAAGAATAGGAAGCCTGAAGAAATTTCCTAGGAGAAACCTACATATAATTTAGATTATTTTTCTTGCCATAATTAACACTTGAGAGCTTCTACTGCAAAAACGATAATGATCATCCATCTATGGACAAGAAACTGTACTTGAAGATATAAGCTGTAACTAGTTGCACCTAAAGATTCAACTGAATGTGTGGGTTATGACAACTATATGCAAGGTAGACAACTTTAGGAAATTCCTTCTAAGTATTCCAAATAAATAGATGAAGCCCACAGAAAGCAGGAAATCTGGAAAACTACGGGCTTCCAAATTAAATCTTTAGATTGAAGGAATTCAAGAGACAAACCTCCACCACCCCAAGTCTCAAACTCTCACTTGTTCCTTCTCTCCCAGCAGTAAGTCTAACATTATATAATAATACGCCAGTCAGTACGTAGGACCAGGAGGAAAGTCTCCTTACCTTTACATATTTTGTGTTTAAATCTTGAAACTCTCCCAATTTCCTATTCTCAAGTAGACGGATTTCATAAGACTGACCTAGGAGTTCAAGGAAACATTTCCAAGGTGTATAAGCATGTTGCAGCAAGAACAGAAAGAGACAGTTGCTTGGGAGGGTTGTTTTCCTCCCTTTCCTTTTGTAATCCAAAATAGTTCTCTCAATAAAGCGCCAATACTGCAACCTCTTATTAAATGAAAGGTGGAGTCTTTGCTTAAATCAGTCTGGAAATTTGGAGAACTCAACTTCTTCACCTTCTGCAAGATGAGCATCTTAAAAACTGCTGGTTCAGAACACAGATCACTGGTGGTTCAAAGGTTCACAGGAAGTATCTTAGAACTGTTTTGCTAGCATCTAACTTTTGCACTGGGTTAGGCCATGAAACTATGTGCTTTTTGGATTTTCCCAGTATATCCAAAATTGTGCTGATGGATCTCTGCCTCTATTTCAGAATAATGTACAGTAGAGTCTCACTTATCCAACACAAACGGGCTGGCAAAACGTCAGATAAGCAAAAATATTGGATAATAAGAAGAGATTAAGGAAAAGCCTATGAAACATCAAAGTATGTTATGATTTTACAAATTAAGCACCAAAACATCATGTTTTACAACAAATCAACAGAAAAAGCCGTTCAGTACACAGTAACGTTATGTAGCAATTACTGTATTGATGAATTTAGCACCAAAACAGACAAGAATTCTTTCTTTCTCCCACTCTGGACTGCGTTTGAAAATACAGAACATTGGATAAGCGAAGGTTGGATAAGTGAAACTCTACTGTACTAGGATAAACTGCTGTCATTCAGGCTACACTCTTAGCCAGTGTCTACATGGGTCAAAGAAAGTGGACTCCATTTTCAGCTGATGCAGGTGGGATGTATGGCTGGATTCACTGCAGAAGCACGGAAACCAGCCATTAACCTGGTGCAAAAGGAAACGAGATTTACCAAGGACCTTCCAAGAAACTACAGAGTAATCCCAATGTTTTGGAGGTGTGGACACCTGGATCAAGCTCGATCCTGCCTGATCGACTGTCCACATGTCCAGTAGATCCAGCACTATGTCACCACCCACAAGTGTTCTCCTCGCAGACATTTGCTGGGAGCATGCTTCTGGCTAGTGACACAATGACCTCAATGTGTCTTTGGCCCCTCCGGCCATCTGAACACCAAAAGTGCTCTGGGGATGCTCCTGGATCGGGTCAATACCCCTTCGGAAAGGTAAAAACAGTATCAATAAAAAGCCCTGCTCACATTGATTCCACTTTTGAATAACTGTTAGGCAAATGCTGCCAGCAGAAATTGACACACATCTCTTCATATATATGAACTTACTAAGATACAATCTTTTTTATTTTGGATACACTGAAAATTTGTTTAGCAACTAAGTGTTAGGAACAAGGACAAAATTATAAACACAATAAAACCAGCAAACAGATATACAGGAACTGGTTTTTCAAGTTCCTTTTGAAACTACTTTCCCTTCTTGAGCAAGAATGCAGATCAATGTATAACAAGGCAATCTAAAACGATAATCAGTTTACGTTCTGGTTTGACCAGTGGTAAGGCTGATCCTCCAAAGAAAGTGATAGAGCTGATATATTTCCCTCCCACAAAGAAAAGAAAAATGTGACATTTCTGGAATTTAGCTCAGAAATGAGAGATTTATTATGACAAGTTAAATATCGTAAAAGTCCTATATTAAAATTCTAAGAATAGTATGTAGTTTCTTTAAATATGTCCATAGCTCTGGCTGAACAGAGTTCTGGGTTAAAATGGAATTATCCTTATCAAGATAAAACAAAATAATAATGCAAACCCAAACAATAGTAATTTGGCTTATCTGTTTAAATATCAGTTAGGCAGTAAGAAACTCAATACTTAGGTATAATCAAAAAATATCCACAACATGATCTTGCAAATAGAATGCATTTAGAATAATTGATTACGGTTGATTTCACATACTATAAACATTAAATACATTCACTATACAGGAATCCCCCAAGTTACAAACAAGATAGGTTCTGCAGGTACATTTTTTAAGTGTAACTCCAGCCAAAAATATATATTAGTATACTTTAGCTTTGGATAGCATAGGGCAGAGTTAACACCCCTGTGATGTTTTCTTGTCTGTGTCAGTGTTCAGAATATTTCAACTCCCCCACCCCCTTTCTATTCCTGTGAGAATTGGATTTTGAAAAATGTGACTTGTGGAAACAAGGATTAGTGATAAATCTTCAGTGGAGACACCTTTTTCCCATAACTCTTTCAGGAGTGAATTGCATTCCTAGGGGTGGATTTCTCTCACTTCCTGTTGTTTCACCCCCATTCTTAACTGTGAATCATTTGTAAACTGAGTGTTTGTAACTCTGAGACCCCCTGTATTAACTTTTTAGGACGTTCTATCACGCCGTCAATGGTAATTAAATTTCATTTTGCTGCAGATAAAGCCATGAGCTTTCACTGAATTGTACAACAAACATAATGGATTAGGGCAACTTGGTAAATATATCCTACCCTTGCAATGAAAAACCACTCCTGAAAAAAGGTATTTTCTAACTTTTGTACTTAAGAATGCTTATACTGTGTTCCCATTATGACCACAATTTTGAAATAAATGTATGTGCAAACACACATACATTGACAATTAAGACTACAGGCTCATGTCTTCACTTGTACTTACAGCAGAAACTGTTGAAAAACTATTAAGCAATTATTAAAGAATCATAATGCTACCTATTAAGATACTGGTATATAGGAAGAGGAATCTTTAGTTCATCCCTAATGAAAAGGAAATGGTGTATATCTCTAGAAAGAAGCATAACATCAGCATAACTGACACCAAAACATTGCAGAAATTGAACTCATTTATTTGTCATGTCAGAGCAGCCAGTCCATTATATTACATTTCTGTGTGCCCAGGAGGGAGTCTCTCATTTGGTATCAGCCATTGGTTGAGGTGCTGGGTTTGAGCCTGCCACTTTTGGACTCTCGCTTGCTGAGGCGTTCCAGCGAGTGTCTCTGTAGATCTTAGAAAACTATGTCTGATTTAAGTCGTTGACGTGCTGGCTGATACCCAAACAGGGGATGAGCTGGAGATGTCTCTGCCTTGGTCCTTTCACTATTGGCTGCTACTTTCCGGCGGATGCCAGGTGGTGCAATACCAGCTAAACAGTGTAATTTCTCCAGTGGTGTAGGGCGCAGACACCCCGTAATAATGAGCCACATCCACTGTTTTAGTGTGGTGAGATGTGTTCCACACTGGGCATGCATACTCAGCAGCAGAGTAGCACAGCGCAAGGGCAGATGTCTTCACTGTATCTGGTTGTGATCCCCAGGTTGTGCCAGTCAGCTTTCGTATGATATTGTTTCTAGCACCCACTTTTTGCTTGATGTTCAGGCAGTGCTTCTTGTAGGTAAGAGCACGGTCCAGAGTGACTCCCAGGTATTTGGGTGTGCTGCAATGCTCCAGTGGGATTCCTTCCCAGGTGATCCTCAGAGCTCGGATTGCTTGTCTGTTCTTAAGGTGAAAGGCACGTGTCTGTGTTTTAGATGGGTTAGGGATTTGCTGGTTTTCCCTGTAATAGGCAGTAAGGGCACCTAGAGCTTTGGAGAGCTTCTGTTCAACCATCTCAAAGCTCCTGCTTGAGCAGTAATGGCACGATCATCAGCATAGATGAAGCTCTCTGTCCCTTCTGGCAATGGCTGGTCATTTGTGTCGATGTTGAACATGGATGGAGCAAGCACGCTCCCCTGAGGCAGGCCGTTCTTCTGTTTCCGCCATCTGCTTCTCTGGCCTGGAACTCAACAAAAAAGCTCCTGTTTTGTAGCAGGTTTCCTATGAGGCGGGTGAGGTGGTAGTCCTTTGTGATATTATACATTTTTCTCAGGAGGAGGCGGTGGTTCACAGTATCATAGGCTGCTGACAGGTCTATGAGGACAGCTCCTGTGATCTGCTGCCTTTCAAAGCCATCTTCTATGTGCTGAGTCAGGTTCAGCACTTGCGATGTGCAGCTTTTGCCTTTCCTGAAGCTGCTGTGGAATCAGACATGGGTCTATTTTTTCCGTAATTCTATGCAAAATAAGTCTCTCCAGAACTTTGTAGAGGTGGCACAACAGGGAGATGGGTCTGTAGCTTTTTGGGTCATTACGGTCTTTGCCTGGCTTCAAGATGGCGATGACTCTTGCTTTCCTCCAGATTTTGGGGATCTGACAGGATGCAGTGCAGTTGTTCATCAGCTCCAGCAGCCAGCGCCTTGCTTTGGGACCAAAGTTCTTGATTTGTTCCATCCATAGATCATCCAGGCCAGCTGCTTTGCCATTTTTACATTTGTTGAGAGCCATGTCCAATTCAATAGATGTAAAGGGTTCATGGAGGTTGTTGAACTCATTGAAAGACCACAAATGAAATGTAGGCCCAAGTCCAAAAATCTTTTCAGAGATTCATTGCAGTGCTCATGAAAAGTTTCAACATCAAGAAGATGAATCTACAAGGGCAGAGCTATGTTTGGAACACCTGTATACATGTTCTTAGACAGCTATCAGCTTTCTCTTACTTTCACCACAGACCCTGCTGATGGAGGGAAGGTGATGCAGAAGATATGAGCTATCATTCAGTAGCAGCTAGCTGTATATATGTGTGTGTGTTTAAAGGAGGCTAAAATATTTTTACAGACACTTTGTTGGTCATAATGAAAATATAATGCTAACCAGATAAGCCCTGATCCATCATGGCTCTTCTTGCATTCCTAAGAAGGATTCCCATTGGGTTTAGCAAGCTTCATCCATACCTCAGTCTACTGTATTTCTAGTATTTCCATATAACATGGTCTTGAGCTCCTTTCCTGTGGATTTCCATGGGTTTGAGTTGGCAGAGACCATCCACTTTTGTCTGACAACATGGTCAACTATCAAATGCAGCAACATCTACTGTCATCTTTAGGCAAGCAAATTACACCTCTTTGTTAAAGGAATGCCTTATCTCCAACTGCACCTTAGAAGATACTCTGTGTTGTCCATACGTTTTAGACTGGAACATTA